GGTTTCCCTGATCTGACCCCCAGGTGGGTTACTCTAGTTGAGGTTTCCCTGGTCAGACCCCCAGGTGGGTTACTATAGTTGACGTTTCCCTGGTCTGACCCCCAAATGGGTTACTATAGTTGACGTTTCCCTGGTCTGACCCCCAGGTGGAGAAGAAGAGCCAGGCGACGGTGTTGACCGCTGCTCTCCTGCTGTCCGGGATTCCCTCCGAGCTCATCAGCCGCTCCATGGACACCTACAGGAAGATGAGCCTCGTGTTCTCAGACCTGTGTGTGTACTTCTTCAGCTTCGTCATGTGTCACGAGCTGCTGCTGCTGTGCGGCTCTGACGGGTCCTGAGACACACACACACACTCCTCTTCCTCCTCCTCTTCCTCCCCTGTGGCCATCACAGCTGTGAAACACATATTTTCTGCAAGCCTGAGCTCCATCCGTCACGTTTCCTGTCCTCGTCTTCATCTCCAGTAGTTTTCCTCAGTTAGTGGAGCTGAGAGTTAATGTTGACCGCTGCGAGACTAGTGAAGCTCTCGTCCAACCCAGCAGAGTTTAACAGATTCATATTTAACGCTAAAATCATAAGAACTTGAAGCCTGTTTTCTTTGCATCCTCTTATATCATCACTATTTTAGTTTAATGTGATGTTGGAGAGACCAGCAGGTTTATGTCAGATTTCTGTTTTCTAAGTGTTTCTGAAGAAAAGCACATTCTCTGATTTGCCGTCGTTCAGCGTCGCTGATGTGTTTTATTATTTCATGAGACTTTAGTATTATTGCGCTGCTCATAAACATGAGTTTACCATAGATCTGCACGATCTATTGATTTCTGTTTGATTAACTGTAAATACAGTAATGTTCTGTCATTATGTGACAGATGATCACCTTTGAGTTGTTTCTGTTCATGTTTACATAATCCTGCAAAACTGATATTCTAATGTATATCTGTGTTTTTCACACTAATATGAGGCGAGTTGTGAGCTGTAATAATATCTTTGATTATACCAATAAACATAAACGTGTCCTTCTGACTGCTGTCTGTGTGATTGCTCATTTCTCTTTCTAACAATCGTTCGGTATCTCACTATGGGAACGCCTCAGCATGACCGAATGCAGAAGCACCAATAACACCACGCCTGCCAACCATGCCAGACCAATCGCTGCAGTGATCAGGGAGTCCCGCCTCCCTGTATATAAACCGCAGCTACCTGTCGTTTCGTCATTCTCGCTCTCTTCCCCATGGAAGATTTTCAGAAGCTGAACTCAGCAGATTTGGGGAATGATTTGCTTAACAGTTTACTGATGGAGCCGCGAGGTAACGTCCCTAACGCAATAGTTCCTTAAGTTGTTGAGTGACTTTGTCAATTAGAATGAGATAACTAACGCGTCAGGGCAAGTTTTCTGCTCTAAGTTTGCAGTTATTTTCCAAGTTTTTGGGTTGCTCACCACGCACCAAAAAGAAGGAAAAGGAGAGCTCTCTAATCACAGACCATCTCCATACTAGTTGTCACTTTGTGGTGGAATTACTGTACGAAGAGACTGCGGGCTCCATCATGGCTACTGTGAAAGAGCCGGAGAGCCCCGGAGAAAAAGGTCGTCCTCCGTAACGTGAATGTGGATTTCTGTGGATATCAAACCCCGAGGGCCCCCCGCACTGCGCAATGTTCTCGACTAAGACCAGAGAAAGGAGACTCCGTGTGGCAGTCGCTGGTAAGTCGGACCCATGCCTCTCTGCTTAACCCAGAGAGAAACCCATGGATTGCCCCCAGGCCACTAGCTTGTGGGGAGAGATGATGGAGAGGGTGTCACCCGTCCTCCCCCCCCCCCCCCCCCCCCAGTTTGATCCGTTAGCGGGAGAGGAAGATGACGAGGTGTTGATGCTATTCTTCCCCTGAATCAGTCCTGTCCGGCGAGTGCACAGGATAAGAGTTCACCCTCCCCTGTACAGATGGATCTAATCGAAGTCTGTTGAGAACAGGAGATATGCGTCAACGCAGATTTAAACCTGCATACATCTCGCGGAGCAGATCAGAGTTGTGAACGGAGTATGGGCTTAGCGGTCGTGGGAGAGGGATTTCTGTGGCTGTCCCGTCGGGACTCTCTGGCAAAGAGTAAGTGGAGTTTTTGGATGCCCCGATTGATCGAAAGGCCATGTTCGGCGCAACGGTGACAGTGATGCGTTAGAAGAGTGAAGACTGAAGAGTGAAGACTGAGGCATGGGCACAAGAATCAGTGTATGTGGATGTTTCCAGGGGCGGACTGGCCATCTGTGTGATCTGGAGTATCACAGAACGGCCGGTACTCCAGGACGGCCGGCGGGTCGGCCCACCACCCGCCACACACGCAGTCATCACCTGTTTCCCCCCACTAATCTGTTTCACACTCCAGTACTGTAGATGGCAGCAATGCACCTTTAAGTTGGATGCCAGCGCGGAGCATTATCAGCTCGGCCCAAAAAAACTGCGATCGCGGCCGAAGCAGCTGTGCGGACTGATCTCGATCACGCGAACATTATTACACAGAGTTGCGCCATCCACTGAGAAGCATTTCAATTCAGTGCAGAATTCTCTATCTCTATTATAAACCCACAGATGGCTGTGATTTAAGCTAGTTAAAAGCCAGATTAAACAGCGCTGATATTCTCAACATCTTGACGCAAAAAAAACAGGTGAAACATTGTTCCAAGAACAAACCAGTTAGAAGACATTTCACTCCACAACTTATGAATTAACTGTAACTTAGTAAAACAAATTTTTTGGCAGAAATGTGCCTGTATTCATATTAAAAATGCTGTTATATTAATAGTCATGTAGGCCTATAAATGTAGGCTATTAAATGTAATGCAGTAATGTTTTTGTTTAGAAGTTATGGCAGTTTATTTATTTATTTTGCATTAAATATTTATACTAAATGTTTATGCTACAATAGGTTTTTAGAGAATAATATATATATATATATTACAATTTTTTCAGGAATTGTTGAACCAGAATATCAAGATATTGTATTATTTCGCATATGATGGTGAAAAGTAAAAAAGTTAAAGTTAAAAGTAAAGGTAAAGGTAAGGTAAAAAAAAACACAACCATGTTATATGTATAATAAATATTTTTGAGTATAGCCCTTCTAGATTATTTTATCCCTTTAGCCCTCGCACACAAAAAGGTTGGAGACCCCTGGTATATAGTAACTATATGTTTTATAATTAGGGTTTCTGTAGCCAGTGACATTTCATTATTTGTATTTTATTTTCAATGCAGATGTAATGGCATTGCACATTTTGTTGTTTTTTATTTGAAGACTGAGGCTTCATTAATAAACAAAACCCCAATTGTCATCATTGTTTTTGAGATATTACTTGCTGTGAATACCTTGTCTGATATAGGTTACAGTATTGTGGCATAGTATCAGGACATCCTAGTGGCTAGGGGCGAATGGCTGGATGATGGGCCTATTTGGGAGAAAGTCCAGGGCTGTTTTTTAGCCCCAGTCCGTCCCTGGATGTTTCTCATACTATAGTGTTGGGCCTATTTATCTCGGATCAGTTTGAGTATCAACAGACTTAAAGAGGTCGTGTTGCCTTACGCCAGAGAGGAATGACAACAAGACAACGACCCCAAACACACCATAAGCGAGCAGCATCTCGCTTCCCGACCGACAAGAGGCCAGCCCGATCCCGGACCTCAATCCAGCACAACACTTGTGGGGTGACTTTAGTCTTTCGAGGCAAACCCCAGAAATGCAGGAGTTGTGTCCTGAACATGCAGACCTGAAGCTGGCCGACTCATGTGTGAGCAGTGTCAAGCCCTGGATACACAACTAAACACTAGTTCAGTGATCACAAGAAAGCTAAATCTTCAAGCATGGTTCAGTTTACAGTATAGCATGCAGACACTGCTATTCATTTGAACAGCCTAATATTCCTTTTTCTTCCCTTTCTATAAAGTAATAACAAATTTAATACATTTTTCGTTCTGTTTTGATTTCGAATGTGCAGTGTTCTCAATGCATTTGCGTGTATTGAAATAAAAGTTATTATAAGGATTTTGAGCTTTACACAGTTTTTTAAACACACTGCTATTGTTTTGAACACAACTGTGTATCAGAGGAAAGTGGGCAAAGAAGAAGAATGTCATTTTAAAGGAGCTTTACATTCAGATGAAGTAATAATGGCATGGGGAACCTCTGAACGCTGTTTTCATCTTATTTTATTTTATTTGCTGTATTTTATCGTAATTGAGTATTTCTGAACAATGAATCGAGTCGCAAAACTGATTTTTTATTTTTTTAAGAATTACAACTAAGGTCAAGGGGGTACATTGAGTAAACAAAAAAAAAAGACAAATATATAAAGAAACAGTGACAAACTTTAAAGTGAAATAAAAAAGTGAAAATCTTTACAAATTGAAACACTGCAGCTTTCTTATTTTTAAAGACAACATTGTGTTTATGTATTGTTGAATTTCTAATCTTAAAATTAAAAACAAAGGCGCATTTCCTCCAAATTTACATTTATAAATATAGCTAAAAGAAGTAGCAGATTAATTAAGTGATATGATATTCCTTATGAGAAAATGTGATGGATGGAGGCACACAAACGCGTCCGAACACGTGACACTCTACGTCATCATGCGAGTGTTTGAGGGACAGCACTGGATTTTTACCAATTTTTACCAAATCACGAAAACAACATGACACACACACACACACACACACACACACACACACACACACACACACACACACACACACACACACACACACACACACACACGTTTGAAGGAGATCCCGATCCCCGCAGCAGCATCTCAAACTGTAGAGTTCAGCAGAAAGATACTCGGTAATGTACATCTGGTCAGGTTTGAATGTAATTTTTTGGTGACTTTCCCAATAATTATTTATTTAAATATTTTATCATTGCTTTAATTTGTATTTTTAAATTGCGGTATAAAGTGTCTAATTTAAATAAATCCATAAAAGGAATAGTTTTGTCATCGTTTCTGGATCGATGTTTGGACGAACTGGAATCTGTCCCTTTAATAAAAGTAAAGAGCGGAAGTAGTCATCATGCAGCCGGAAGTGTTTCTGTGTTTGCACTCACTGAAGCGACATCATGGGACGAGAGTCACGGTAAATCTTTTCATGTTTATTCAATTCCCTTTCATTTTCAGGCTTAACTGTTTTAGTAATGTTTCCAGTGTGATTCACAAGCGTTTATAAGGAAGGTGTTGTTAATACCGCTGCGCTGCGAATGAAACAATGATAATCATAAGACGTAAACTCTACGTTTGAGCTGCTTAACTTACTCACTAACGTTAACTAACTCACAAACAAACAAACTAACTGACTCACTCACTCACTAACTCACTAATGTTTGCAATAAATGGTTTCTCGAGAGCAGTAGATGAGGTTAGTGAGTCTGTGTGAATATATCTGCTATATAGCGCCATTATGTTGTTTACATCGCAATTAAATACAGTTTAATTCATTACGTCATCACCACGCAGTCCGCTTCCATAAAACACAACTATATTTTACTTTTATGTCTAATTTACAGATATATGTCGACCTCTGTTGTAAATAATAATTATTAATAATAATAGTAGTTGTTATATAATAATATATTATTTTAATATATTATTATTTTATAATATTTAAAAAAGGTGTTTTGCAGTCTTTTTAACTTTGTGTATATAATGTGGAGCCAGTATAATAAACCTAAAGTTCTATCGGTTTCAGTTGAAACATAAACAAAACTGTGAGCTGTTCTTTAAAATGGTTTAAAGTCACCATGAAACATGAGACAATTATTTTTTTATAGAATTTTGCCACGTTTATTATAAGTGATTTACCTGGACGTTGTCACACATTTCACGATTCGGTTCGATTTCGATTCACAAGTATGGAAGTAAAATAATCCCAAATGTTTTTGAAACAAAAAGCCTGTTGAATTGTACTACTTGAAAAAAATATGCATTGCATTAACCCTGCTTGTATTTTAATGCATTGTATTTTTAGGGCTTGAATTTTATAGGCTGAAATTTAGCATGGTTGAATATTTAAGCTGTGAATATTTCAAATCAAATCATTTCAAACACATTTTCATTAGTAAAATTTCAATAATCCATATTCACCTTTCATATTTCATATCCCAAATATTCAAACTGATTAAAAATGCAACCTATAATATTCAACAGGCGGTTTTCGGTCCATTTTATTTCGCTTTGCAAATTCGCTTCCACAAATTCAGTGGTTCAAATTCGACAGTAAATTCAACGTTGACATCCAGGAGCTGCAGGAAAAGCAGTAGATTACCGAGCATAATCTCCATCTGCTGTTAGTCGACATCACCAGCAGGGGGCGGACGCGCGTGTTGTTGACGAAGACCAGAGCAACAGTTAGCGCAAGCCATTCATTCATAAAAACTTATTTGCAAAAATGTAAGTGTATTTGTGATTATTATGACGTCTGTTTTATGTGAAATTCAGTGTGTTCACGATTACTTTTCCTGTGTAGCCTACATGCATCTTTCTCTACCATGAACGATAATGTTATTCCCCCGATGCGGATGTACAGATCCAGTGTTACATTTGACATATTTCTCTTGGTTGTTTAGTTGCCTTAACCTTATATTGCAGCGATGTGCTGCATGCAGTACTAGGGTTTGGTTTCCCTCAATATGTCAGGATTCCCCTGCTGGACATATAAAACGCTTAACGTAGCTTAATGGACATAAAAGACCAAACTCGCAGGCTAGCAGGTGGACTCAGAATATGAATTTAACGCGCAAAGTTTAATGCTGAGCGTTTCCCAGTGATATACTGGCATAAATTTGGTTTGACATTGGACATTCGCACATTTAGGGACCGTCTCTAAAGTTACATACGACATTGGTATACACGTTTCTAACTTAAATACCATTTGAAAAGAACGACTTACAGTCATAAAACCAACTGTAAAGTGTTCGTGTAGGTGTCAGGCTCAGGCATAATGCGCAATTTATTCAAATAGATTGAAGTTTGCTATTGAAGTTAGAAACGTTTAGGCCTATAGGACTTGTTCCTTTAGAGACGGTCCCTAAATGTGCGAATGTCAACCCAATTTTACATTTAGTCTTTTAGCTGGCACTTTTATCCAAAGCGACTAGTTAAACTAACAATATAGAAAAACAATATGAAAGTGCCACTTCCCAGTTTAATCTAATGCAGTACATGTACAATACATACTTTCCAAATAAGGTGCGAGTTTGGTCTTTTATATCACTGTAGTCCATTAAGCTACGTTAAGCGCTTTGTCCTGACGGAATTCGGGGAATCTTTGAGTATGATGATGTATTGAGGGAAACAGATTATAATCCCATTCACTGTAGAAAAGGCTGATAACATAAGGCTACACAGGGAAAGTAACAATGAATGAAACATAAAAACAGCTTTTGTGCCTTTATCATCTTTTCCGCATATATACTGACCCAGATAATCGTCACAAAAAACATAATGCATGCTGAGTTTTTATGAATGAATGGCTTGCACTAACTGTTGCTCTGGTCTTCGTCAACAACACGCGCTTGCACCCCCTGCTGGTGAGGTCGACTAACAGCAGATGGAGATTATGCTCGGTAATCTACTGCTTTTCCTGCAGCTCCTGGATGTCAACGTTGAATTTACTGTCGAATTTGAACCACTGAATTTGTGGAAGCGAATTTGCAAAGCGAAATAAAATGGACCGAAAACCGCCTGTTGAATATTATAGGTTGTATTTTTAATCAGTTTGAATATTTGGGAAATGAAATATGAAAGGTGAATATGGATTATTGAAATTTTACTAATGAAAATGTGTTTGAAATGATTTGATTTGAAATATTCACAGCTTAAATATTCAACCATGCTAAATTTCAGCCTATAAAAATGCAAGCCCTAAAAATACAATGCATTAAAATACAAGCCGGGTTAATGCAATGCATATTTTTTTCAAGTAGTACAATTCAACAGGCTTTTTGTTTCAAAAACATTTGGGATTATTTTACTTCCATACACAAGCTTGTGATTCAATTCCAACTGCGATTCAGTATCGATTCACTTGTGAATGAATATATATATATATATATTTGGATAAAAGTGTCTGCCAAATGCATAAGTGTGTATATATATGAGGGACAGTAATGGCACATTTCCGCTGTAAACTACCGGAAGTCAGTTTGTGCACATTATAATAGTGAAGGTTAACGTAAGCTGATTTCTACGTATATAAGAACTCAAATTACACACAAGGAAGTTTACATAATAATACAAGTTTATTACTAACTTTTTAATTACATAATTATGTTTCAACTCTTTTTTTTTTAAATGCAAACATTTAAATGGTGGCCGTCATAAACGTTTGACTGATTTATCCAAACGTACATTAAATTGCCTATTGAAGAACAGTGCATATATAAGCTCCTCTGTAGAGTTGTTGTTGTTCTCCTGTAGAGTTGTTGTTGTCCTCCTGTAGTGTAGAGTTGTTGTCCTCCTGTAGTGTAGAGTTGTTGTCCTCCTGTAGTGTAGAGTTGTTGTCCTCCTGTAGTGTAGAGTTGTTGTCCTCCTGTAGTGTAGAGTTGTTGTCCTCCTGTAGTGTAGAGTTGTTGTCCTCCTGTAGTGTAGAGTTGTTGTCCTCCTGTAGTGTAGAGTTGTTGTCCTCCTGTAGTGTAGAGTTGTTGTTGTTCTCCTGTAGAGTTGTTGTTGTCCTCCTGTAGAGTTGTTGTCCTCCTGTAGTGTAGAGTTGTTGTCCTCCTGTAGTGTAGAGTTGTTGTCCTCCTGTAGTGTAGAGTTGTTGTCCTCCTGTAGTGTAGAGTTGTTGTTGTTCTCCTGTAGAGTTGTTGTTGTCCTCCTGTAGAGTTGTTGTCCTCCTGTAGTGTAGAGTTGTTGTCCTCCTGTAGTGTAGAGTTGTTGTCCTCCTGTAGTGTAGAGTTGTTGTCCTCCTGTAGTGTAGAGTTGTTGTCCTCCTGTAGTGTAGAGTTGTTGTCCTCCTGTAGTGTAGAGTTGTTGTCCTCCTGTGGAGTAGAGTTGTTGTCCTCCTGTAGTGTAGAGTTGTTGTCCTCCTGTAGTGTAGAGTTGTTGTCCTCCTGTAGTGTAGAGTTGTTGTCCTCCTGTAGTGTAGAGTTGTTGTCCTCCTGTAGTGTAGAGTTGTTGTCCTCCTGTAGTGTAGAGTTGTTGTCCTCCTGTAGTGTAGAGTTGTTGTCCTCCTGTAGTGTAGAGTTGTTGTCCTCCTGTAGTGTAGAGTTGTTGTCCTCCTGTAGTGTAGAGTTGTTGTCCTCCTGTAGTGTAGAGTTGTTGTCCTCCTGTAGTGTAGAGTTGTTGTCCTCCTGTAGTGTAGAGTTGTTGTCCTCCTGTAGTGTAGAGTTGTTGTCCTCCTGTGGAGTCGTCCTCGTCCTCCTCCTGTAGAGTCGTCCTCGTCCTCGTCCTCCTCCTGTAGAGTCGTCCTCCTCCTGTAGAGTCGTCCTCGTCCTGTAGAGTCGTCCTCGTCCTGTAGAGTCGTCCTCGTCCTGTAGAGTCGTCCTCGTCCTGTAGAGTCGTCCTCGTCCTGTAGAGTCGTCCTCGTCCTGTAGAGTCGTCCTCGTCCTGTAGAGTCGTCCTCGTCCTGTAGAGTCGTCCTCGTCCTGTAGAGTCGTCCTCGTCCTGTAGAGTCGTCCTCGTCCTGTAGAGTCGTCCTCGTCCTGTAGAGTCGTCCTCGTCCTGTAGAGTCGTCCTCGTCCTGTAGAGTCGTCCTCGTCCTGTAGAGTCGTCCTCGTCCTGTAGAGTCGTCCTCGTCCTGTAGAGTCGTCCTCGTCCTGTAGAGTCGTCCTCGTCCTGTAGAGTCGTCCTCGTCCTGTAGAGTCGTCCTCGTCCTGTAGAGTCGTCCTCGTCCTGTAGAGTCGTCCTCGTCCTGTAGAGTCGTCCTCGTCCTGTAGAGTCGTCCTCGTCCTGTAGAGTCGTCCTCGTCCTGTAGAGTCGTCCTCGTCCTGTAGAGTCGTCCTCGTCCTGTAGAGTCGTCCTCGTCCTGTAGAGTCGTCCTCGTCCTGTAGAGTCGTCCTCGTCCTGTAGAGTCGTCCTCGTCCTGTAGAGTCGTCCTGTAGAGTCGTCCTCGTCCTGTAGAGTCGTCCTCGTCCTGTAGAGTCGTCCTCGTCCTGTAGAGTCGTCCTCGTCCTGTAGAGTCGTCCTCGTCCTGTAGAGTCGTCCTCGTCCTGTAGAGTCGTCCTCGTCCTGTAGAGTCGTCCTCGTCCTGTAGAGTCGTCCTCGTCCTGTAGAGTCGTCCTCGTCCTGTAGAGTCGTCCTCGTCCTGTGTCCTCGTCCTCGTCCTGTGTCCTCGTCCTCGTCCTGTGTCCTCGTCCTCGTCCTGTGTCCTCGTCCTCGTCCTGTGTCCTCGTCCTCGTCCTGTGTCCTCGTCCTCGTCCTGTGTCCTCGTCCTCGTCCTGTGTCCTCGTCCTCGTCCTGTGTCCTCGTCCTCGTCCTGTGTCCTCGTCCTCGTCCTGTGTCCTCGTCCTCGTCCTGTGTCCTCGTCCTCGTCCTCGTCCTGTGTCCTCGTCCTCGTCCTCGTCCTGTGTCCTCGTCCTCCTCCTGTAGAGTCGTCCTCCTCCTGTAGAGTCGTCCTCCTCCTGTAGAGTCGTCCTCCTCCTGTAGAGTCGTCCTCCTCCTGTAGAGTCGTCCTCCTCCTGTAGAGTCGTCCTCCTCCTGTAGAGTCGTCCTCCTCCTGTAGAGTCGTCCTCCTCCTGTAGAGTCGTCCTCGTCCTCCTCCTGTAGAGTCGTCCTCGTCCTCCTCCTGTAGAGTCGTCCTCGTCCTCCTCCTGTAGAGTCGTCCTCGTCCTGTAGAGTCGTCCTCGTCCTCCTCCTGTAGAGTCGTCCTCGTCCTCCTCCTGTAGAGTCGTCCTCGTCCTCCTCCTGTAGAGTCGTCCTCGTCCTCCTCCTGTAGAGTCGTCCTCGTCCTGTAGAGTCGTCCTCCTCCTGTAGAGTCGTCCTCCTCCTGTAGAGTCGTCCTCCTCCTGTAGAGTCGTCCTCCTCCTGTAGAGTCGTCCTCCTCCTGTAGAGTCGTCCTCCTCCTGTAGAGTCGTCCTCCTCCTGTAGAGTCGTCCTCCTCCTGTAGAGTCGTCCTCCTCCTGTAGAGTCGTCCTCGTCCTCCTCCTGTAGAGTCGTCCTCGTCCTCCTCCTGTAGAGTCGTCCTCGTCCTCCTCCTGTAGAGTCGTCCTCGTCCTGTAGAGTCGTCCTCGTCCTCCTCCTGTAGAGTCGTCCTCGTCCTCCTCCTGTAGAGTCGTCCTCGTCCTCCTCCTGTAGAGTCGTCCTCGTCCTCCTCCTGTAGAGTCGTCCTCGTCCTGTAGAGTCGTCCTCCTCCTGTAGAGTCGTCCTCCTCCTGTAGAGTCGTCCTCCTCCTGTAGAGTCGTCCTCGTCCTCCTCCTGTAGAGTCGTCCTCGTCCTCCTCCTGTAGAGTCGTCCTCGTCCTCCTCCTGTAGAGTCGTCCTCGTCCTCCTCCTTGTGACGTCAGTACGTTGTGCATCGAGTTGAAGTGTCACTCTAGTGGCGTGAGTCGATGCGTAGGCCGTCTGCCGGACGCTGGTTATGATAGTCAAAGTTTTAAAGCGTCTCGCCCGCGTCTCATTCGCGTCTCATTCGCGTCTCGCCGTGTCTCGCCCGTGCCTCACCGTGTCTCACCCGCGTCTCACCGTGTGTCTCACCCACGTCTCGCCCGCGTCTCACCGTGTCTCGCCCCTGTCTCTGTCTCAGGCACTACCGGAAGCGCTCCAGCTCGAGGGCGAGGTCCGCCAGCAGGTCCAAGAGCCGCTCGCCCGACTCCAAGCGCTCGAAGAAGGAGGATCCGGCTGGCTCACGGGCCCGCGAGCGCAGCAGGAGAGAGCGCACCCGCAGCAGAGAGAGGAGGAGGTCACGCTCCAGAGACCGCAAGAGGCCGAGGTCAGGACACACACACACGCTCACACACGCACTCACACACACACAGCTGTCAGGTGCTCACGGCCTCGTCTCTTCACAGGCGCTCCAGGAGTCGGGACAGGAGACGCACCAGCCGAGAGCGCAGGAGGAGCAAGAGCAGGAGCAGAGGGAGGAGGTCAGTGTCACACACACACACACACACCTGAACGCTTCTGCTGATCGTGTAAAGCAGGGGTCCTTCAGCTGTATAGTCTGAGTCTCAGATAGATGAACTCCACTGGAAGTGGCGATGTGAGGGACTTCTGGGAATACAGTATGAGCTGCACATCCAAACGTTCACGATCATCACTCTTAACGCTCGAACGCTAATCTAGATAAATGTGTGCTGTTATCAGGAGAGTATCGGAGTGTGTGTGTGTGGAAACGTGTTTAGTTTTAGTTCAAAGTTTCAAATAAAGCCTCCCTGTGCTGTGTGTGTGTAAGCTATTACAACAAAATTATCCAAATTATCTAAAATTATGAGATAATGTTAAAATATACAGTTTCCCTGTGGTATGGAAAAGTGTATCGAATATCGATATCTTTCTAAGGTATCGTATCGAAATAAGACAACACGGATATGTGAATTATTTAACTCGCAAATCGTTAATTTCTTCACAATAAAATGTTATAGACCTTCAAATTGTATATAAATGTTATACAGAATAATACAGCATATATATATATATACACACACATTTTCTCCAGTTCTATATTTTGTGTGAAAAATTGCTATATGTGAGTAGAAAAGTCATGTAAATTCATTGAACTATGAAGAACATTTAATTATAAATGTTAATTATCATTATTTTATTTAAATACTTATATAAGTAATTATTAATATAGGCAGTGTCACTCCTAGTTTTGCAAATAAGCAGCTCTGTGATTAGAGTGTCAGAGACGTGTGTAACGGCGCCCTGCGGCCCGAGGCTCGCTGAGGCGCTAACGCTAGCGCTAGCTGAAGTGTGCTGTGGTGTTCCAGCAAGGAGAAGCCGGAGAACGGAGACCAGTGCGCTGACAAGAAGAAGCTGAAGGAGGAGAAGGAGGAGGAGAAGCCGGAAGACGTGAGTGCGGTGCGCTTGTGCATGCCAGGTGTGTGTGTGCAGCGCTGAGCTCTAACACACTCTCTCCGCAGCAAGACTTCGACCAGAACACGCTGGAGGAGGAGATGAGGAAGAGGAAGGAGCGCGTGGAGAAGTGGAGGGAGGAGCAGAGGAAGAAGGCCATGGAGAACATCGGAGAGATCAAGAAGGAGCTGGAGGAGATGAAGCAGGGCAAGAAGTGGAGCCTGGAGGACGACGACGGTCAGTTACACCACACACCCACACACTCACACACTCACACACTCACTCACTCACTCACACACACACTCGGTTATGATCAAACACTACACCACACACACTCATTTACAGCAGAAAACACTGGAGCAAGACTGGGAACTTGCTGACGGAAAGAACCGCAGTCCCATGATGCACTGCGAACGACAGTCCAGTTAAAACCATGAAGAAATATTCAGCTATATATAATGTGTGATGTTTGAGTGTTTAGAGAGCGCAGGGAGACTGATTCAGTGATGTCATCGGTTGTGCTTCATGGCAGTGGGTGATTTGCTCGAGGCGATTCTCTGATTAGTGGAATCATGGGTAATGTAGTTTTCAACAGGAATTCCACTGTTAAACACGTTAAATAATGTGTGCCGATGGCTACAACAAAGGCGGATAGCAGCATTTAAAGTCCCGCTGTGGTGAAAATCCAGCTTTTAATGTTGTTTATATGTTTATGTGGGGTTTTTAATTTTTAAATGTTTTAATGCATGTCAAAAGATATATCACGATTTATCTTCAATCGCACATCAACCTGATCACATGTTCAGCGTTCATGTAAACACTACATGCAGACTCATTCAAAAACAAAAGTTGTGCATGTAAACACAGCCAGTGTCATCAGCGTTGCTCGTGTGTGTGGTGTGTTTGTGTGTGCGTGGTGTGTGTGCGTGTGTAGATGACGACGAGGAGACCCAGGCCCCGGTGGAGCCGGACCCGGACGAGGAGGAGCAGGAGAAGGAGCCGGCTGTGGAGCTGGAGGAGGTGCTGGAGGAGGAGGCCGGAGAGGAGCTCGACCCGCTCGACGCATACATGGAGGAGGTCAAGGAGGAGGTCAAGAAGTTCAACATGGGCACCATGAAGGGGGGGAACGACAAGGTACTTCCTGTGGTCTACACTTCCTTCTGTGGTTCATCAGTGTTCAGTTCCTCTGTGTAGAAGAGCCTTGTGATCTCTGAGGAGCATCTCTTTCTGTGAGGGTTTCATCAGAGTGATCAGGGTGATCAGGGTGTTTAGAGTGATCAGGGTGATCAGGGTGTTTAGGGTGATCAGGGTGTTTAGAGTGATCAGAGTGATCAGGGTGCTCAGAGTGATCAGTGATCAGTGTGTTTAGAGTGATCAGGGTGCTCAGAGTGATCAGGGTGTTTAGAGTGATCAGGGTGTTTAGAGTGATCAGGGTGTTTAGAGTGATCAGGGTGTTTAGAGTGATCAGGGTGTTTAGAGTGATCAGGGTGTTTAGAGTGATCAGGGTGTTTAGAGTGATCAGGGTGTTTAGGGTGATCAGGGTGTTTAGGGTGATCAGGGTGTTTAGGGTGATCAGGGTGTTTAGAGTGATCAGGGTGTTTAGAGTGATCAGGGTGATCAGAGTGATCAGGGTGTTTAGAGTGATCAGGGTGTTTAGAGTGATCAGGGTGTTTAGAGTGATCAGGGTGTTTAGAGTGATCAGGGTGCTCATGAGTGATCAGGGTGCTCATGAGTGATCAGGGTGCTCATGAGTGATCAGGGTGCTCATGAGTGATCAGGGTGCTCATGAGTGATCAGGGTGCTCATGAGTGATCAGGGTGATCAGGGTGTTTAGGGTGATCAGGGTGTTTAGAGTGATCAGAGTGATCAGGGTGCTCAGAGTGATCAGGGTGCTCAGAGTGATCAGGGTGCTCAGAGTGATCAGGGTGCTCAGAGTGATCAGGGTGCTCAGAGTGATCAGGGTGTTTAGAGTGATCAGGGTGTTTAGAGTGATCAGGGTGTTTAGAGTGATCAGGGTGTTTAGAGTGATCAGGGTGTTTAGAGTGATCAGGGTGTTTAGAGTGATCAGGGTGTTTAGAGTGATCAGGGTGTTTAGAGTGATCAGGGTGTTTAGAGTGCTCAGAGTGATCAGGGTGTTTAGAGTGATCAGGGTGTTTAGAGTGATCAGGGTGTTTAGAGTGATCAGGGTGTTTAGAGTGATCAGGGTGTTTAGAGTGATCAGGGTGTTTAGAGTGATCAGGGTGCTCAGGGTGATCAGGGTGTTTAGAGTGATCAGGGTGATCAGAGTGATCAGGGTGTTTAGAGTGATCAGGGTGTTTAGAGTGATCAGGGTGTTTAGAGTGATCAGGGTGTTTAGAGTGATCAGGGTGTTTAGAGTGATCAGGGTGTTTAGAGTGATCAGGGTGTTTAGAGTGATCAGGGTGTTTAGAGTGATCAGGGTGCTCATGAGTGATCAGGGTGCTCATGAGTGATCAGGGTGCTCAGAGTGATCAGGGTGCTCAGAGTGATCAGGGTGTTTAGAGTGATCAGGGTGTTTAGAGTGATCAGGGTGTTTAGAGTGATCAGGGTGTTTAGAGTGATCAGGGTGATCAGAGTGATCAGGGTGATCAGAGTGATCAGGGTGTTTAGAGTGATCAGGGTGTTTAGAGTGATCAGGGTGTTTAGAGTGATCAGGGTGTTTAGAGTGATCAGGGTGTTTTGAGTGATCAGGGTGTTTTGAGTGATCAGGGTGTTTAGAGTGATCAGGGTGTTTAGAGTGATCAGGGTGTTTAGAGTGATCAGGGTGCTCAGGGTGATCAGGGTGTTTAGGGTGATCAGGGTGTTTAGAGTGATCAGGGTGTTGTTTAGAGGGATCAGGGTGCTCAGAGTGATCAGGGTGTTTAGAGTGATCAGGGTGTTTAGAGTGATCAGGGTGTTTAGAGTGATCAGGGTGCTCAGAGTGATCAGGGTGTTTAGAGTGATCAGGGTGTTTAGGGTGATCAGGGTGTTTAGAGTGATTAGTGATCAGGGTGTTGTTTAGAGGGATCAGGGTGCTCAGAGTGATCAGGGTGCTCAGAGTGATCAGGGTGTTTAGAGTGATCAGGGTGTTTAGAGTGATCAGGGTGTTTAGAGTGGTCAGGGTGCTCAGAGTGATCAGGGTGTTTAGAGTGATCAGGGTGCTCAGAGTGATCAGGGTGTTTAGAGTGATCAGGGTGTTTAGAGTGATCAGGGTGTTTAGAGTGATCAGGGTGCTCAGAGTGATCAGGGTGTTTAGAGTGATCAGGGTGCTCAGAGTGATCAGGGTGTTTAGAGTGATCAGGGTGTTTAGAGTGATCAGGGTGCTCAGAGTGATCAGGGTGTTTAGAGTGATCAGGGTGCTCAGAGTGATCAGGGTGTTTAGAGTGATCAGGGTGTTTAGAGTGATCAGGGTGCTCAGAGTGATCAGGGTGTTTAGAGTGATCAGGGTGCTCAGAGTGATCAGGGTGTTTAGAGTGATCAGGGTGCTCAGAGTGATCAGGGTGCTCAGAGTGATCAGGGTGTTTAGAGTGATCAGGGTGTTTAGAGTGATCAGGGTGTTTAGAGTGATCAGGGTGTTTAGAGTGATCAGGGTGTTTAGAGTGATCAGGGTGCTCAGAGTGATCAGGGTGCTCAGAGTGATCAGGGTGCTCAGAGTGATCAGGGTGCTCAGAGTGATCAGGGTGCTCAGAGTGATCAGGGTGTTTAGAGTGATCAGGGTGTTTAGAGTGATCAGGGTGTTTAGAGTGATCAGGGTGTTTAGAGTGATCAGGGTGCTCAGAGTGATCAGGGTGTTTAGAGTGATCAGGGTGTTTAGAGTGATCAGGGTGTTTAGAGTGATCAGGGTGTTTAGAGTGATCAGGGTGTTTAGAGTGATCAGGGTGCTCAGAGTGATCAGGGTGTTTAGGGTGATCAGGGTGTTTAGAGTGATTAGTGATCAGGGTGTTTAGAGTGATCAGGGCGCTCAGAGTGATCAGGGTGTTTAGAGTGATCAGGGTGCTCAGAGTGATCAGGGTGTTTAGAGTGATCAGGGTGTTTAGAGTGATCAGGGTGATCAGGGTGTTTAGAGTGATCAGGGTGTTTAGAGTGATCAGGGTGTTTAGAGTGATCAGGGTGTTTAGAGTGATCAGGGTGTTTAGAGTGATCAGGGTGCTCATGAGTGATCCGGGTGCTCATGAGTGATCAGGGTGCTCATGAGTGATCAGGGTGCTCATGAGTGATCAGGGTGCTCATGAGTGATCAGGGTGCTCAGAGTGATCAGGGTGTTTAGAGTGATCAGGGTGTTTAGAGTGATCAGGGTGTTTAGAGTGATCAGGGTGTTTAGAGTGATCAGGGTGTTTAGAGTGATCAGGGTGCTCAGAGTGATCAGGGTGTTTAGAGTGATCAGGGTGCTCAGAGTGATCAGGGTGCTCAGAGTGATCAGGGTGCTCAGGGTGTTTAGAGTGATCAGGGTGTTTAGAGTGATCAGAGTGATCCGGGTGATCAGGGTGCTCAGGGTGATCAGGGTGTTTAGAGTGATCAGGGTGTTTGGAGTGATCAGGGTGTTTAGGGTGATCAGGGTGTTTAGAGTGATCAGGGTGTTTAGAGTGATCAGGGTGTTTAGAGTGATCAGGGTGATCAGGGTGCTCAGGGTGTTTAGAGTGATCAGGGTGTTTAGAGTGATCAGGGTGTTTAGAGTAATCAGGGTGTTTAGAGTGATCAGGGTGTTTAGAGTGATCAGGGTGCTCAGAGTGATCAGGGTGATCAGGGTGCTCAGAGTGATCAGGGTGCTCAGAGTGATCAGGGTGCTCAGGGTGTTTAGAGTGATCAGGGTGCTCAGAGAGAGTGCTCAGGGTGATCAGGGTGATCAGGGTGCTCAGAGTGATCAGGGTGCTCAGGGTGATCAGAGTGATCAGGGTGCTCAGGGTGATCAGGGTGCTCAGGGTGATCAGGGTGTTTAGAGTGATCAGGGTGTTTAGAGTGATCAGGGTGTTTAGAGTGATCAGGGTGTTTAGAGTGATCAGGGTGTTTAGAGTGATCAGGGTGCTCAGAGTGATCAGGGTGCTCAGAGTGATCAGGGTGCTCAGAGTGATCAGGGTGTTTAGAGTGCTCAGAGTGATCAGGGTGTTTAGAGTGATCAGGGTGTTTAGAGTGATCAGGGTGTTTAGAGTGATCAGGGTGATCAGAGTGCTCAGGCTGATCAGAGTGCTCAGGGTGGTCAGAGTGATCAGAGTGATCAGGGTGCTCAGTGATCAGGGTGTTTAGAGTGATCAGGGTGTTTAGAGTGATCAGGGTGTTTAGAGTGATCAGGGTGTTTAGAGTGATCAGGGTGTTTAGAGTGATCAGGGTGCTCAGAGTGATCAGGGTGCTCAGAGTGATCAGGGTGCTCAGGGTGTTTAGAGTGATCAGGGTGCTCAGAGTGATCAGGGTGCTCAGAGTGATCAGGGTGCTCAGAGTGATCAGGGTGCTCAGAGTGATCAGGGTGTTTAGAGTGATCAGGGTGTTTAGAGTGATCAGGGTGTTTAGAGTGATCAGGGTGATCAGAGTGCTCAGGCTGATCAGAGTGCTCAGGCTGATCAGAGTGCTCAGGCTGATCAGAGTGCTCAGGCTGATCAGAGTGCTCAGGCTGATCAGAGTGCTCAGGCTGATCAGAGTGCTCAGGCTGATCAGAGTGCTCAGGCTGATCAGAGTGCTCAGGCTGATCAGAGTGCTCAGGCTGATCAGAGTGCTCAGTGATCAGGGTGTTTAGAGTGATCAGGGTGTTTAGAGTGATCAGGGTGTTTAGAGTGATCAGGGTGTTTAGGGTGCTCAGGGTGATCAGGGTGCTCAGGGTGATCAGGGTGCTCAGGGTGATCAGGGTGTTTAGAGTGATCAGGGTGTTTAGAGTGATCAGGGTGCTCAGAGTGATCAGGGTGCTCAGAGTGATCAGGGTGCTCAGGGTGTTTAGAGTGATCAGGGTGCTCAGAGTGATCAGGGTGTTTAGAGTGATCAGGGTGTTTAGAGTGATCAGGGTGCTCAGAGTGCTCAGAGTGATCAGGGTGCTCAGAGTGATCAGGGTGTTTAGAGTGATCAGGGTGCTCAGAGTGATCAGGGTGCTCAGAGTGATCAGGGTGCTCAGAGTGATCAGGGTGCTCAGAGTGATCAGGGTGCTCAGAGTGATC